TTCAGCTTGCATTTCTATCAGCAAAATTGTCAAACTTTTAATTTGGTTATGTTTTGCTCCTGTTTTAATTAATGAATCGGTTCTAACCAGAGATGAGACCACTACATCTTAAAGCTCTTTAGTCATGTTAGAATCAGTATAGCCAAAATTCAGCATAAATCTGCTATTTAAGAAAAGCAAAGCAAGAAAATATTGACTTGCTTTTCCCCCAGAAAGGTATAATTGTTACCTTTCAAAGTTTTATTATAAATGAAGAGTTGATAAAGGATGTCACTGTCATTCTCAAAGGGAAAAAAAATAAAAACAAAAGGAAAAACAGTATCAGGAGATGCATTTGCTATCCACTGTGTTTGTAATGAAATCTTGGCATTGGAAATAGTTCTTTTAAGTTAATTTGCCCCTCCATAAATGTTTCACTTCAGTAAACACTGACAGAAGCCCAATAATATATTTTTCACAGTTCACTTCAAACACTGTATGGTGTTCTTAAGTCTGGAATATTAGAACAATGCAATACTTTTTTTCTTTACAAAACAGTGCAAAAAAGTTATATTTCAAAAATACAATTTTAGATGATACAATTTTATTTGATTTATATGTTAGGTAGTTAATCCCATTCATGCTTGAAGGTTTTTCTGTAAGAGGTGAGTTTTTAAATTGTTATTCTAGGAAAAGCAGCAAGAAATCTCATCAAGAGGTTTGTGCATGGAATATTAATATTACATTTTTCTGTAATAATTCAAGTAAAAAGACAATAGGCTACAAAAATATTTATGACAAGTATGACTGATATGTATTTATAAATTACATTGCAAAACTTATTTAAAGTGCTATGTAAATCATAGCTGCTATTATTACTATTAACATAAAATTTTGACATCTAAATATATAAGGAACTGTTAAAAAGTAATAGTGGTAGCCCCAAGCTATAATGCATAAATGAGTAAAGGATTTGATTGGACAGTTTTTTTTATTGGATAGTTTTCAAAAAAAGAAAACATAAACCACAATTTGTTAATAATTGTTTGAGGAAAATAGTTGGCCTCACTTCATTATTAAAGAGATGCAAGTATAAAAAAATTTTTTTTGAGGTACCACCTCACATACTTCCTAAATGGCCTTGTCATAAAACTCAACACTGATGAGGTTGTAAATAGACACATTCAGTAATTGCTAATGGAATTGTAAATTGTGGAATCTTTTGGGAGGGCTATCTGATAGTATTTAGAAAAATCAAATAAATGATCACTCTTTGATCTATTAATTCCCTTGTTGCAACTATACTTTAAAAGCATTACCCCCAAAAAAGCTGTTGGTTCAAAGAGTTTTTAAAACAGTATTATATGAAATTGAAAAAGAAAACAAAATATATGCAAACAAAATGTCTAACAAGTTGTCACACTAATTAATAAAATAATGCAACACACTTAAAATAAATGGTAATGAGGATTACAAAGAGATAATGTGGTATTCAAGAAAACACATCCCCAAATCTGAGAGTTTTCAAAAGAAATTTATTAGGCCATTGAGGGTGGGTGGGAGAGAAAGAGAGAGGGAAAACACCAGAGAGGTATATCTTTCTCTCTCCAGGTTCTGGAATATTTGCATCATATAAAATTTGGCAAAGTTTTCCAGACCCAGTTACACATGAATCATTTTACAAAGATATACACATGAGTCACACAGCATGATTCACATACAAATCATCTGACAAAGATTTCACACACAAGACACATACAAATCACCTGAAGACAACCCAAAACACAAGTTTGAGTAGACCCTAAACCAGTCCTGGGTGTCATAAACCAAAATAAGAAAGCTTTGGATTGATCTAAGACATAGGGAAAACCTAAGATTCCTCATAGTCATTTCCCATATTTCTGGAGAGTTTTGAGATGAGGTGACATTCTGGATACAGAATGCCTAAAATAGGATTTAAACAGTATAATTATTAATAAGTTTTTTAAACTTATAAAAAGTAATTTTCTACAAATGCAAAGTTAAAAAGTCAAACACAAGAAAATGGAGTATCCACTTATGAAAAAGCTTCTTACAGAGATTTAGAGACAAAGACTAAATATTATTATGTAACTGATTAAGTGTAAATAGTAAAAAGAAAGTAGAGGTCCTTATTTATATATTAAATATCTAATAAAGCTGATACTAAATGAAAACTGATAAAACTGATATTCTCAACTTATGAATACATATCATGTACATCAATGATAAGCAGTAGTGACTAACATCAGAATCTTAATATCTGAATTATATGATAACTTTCTGCAAAGATTTCTAATATTGTGTTTTAGGCAAGAATGCATAATGAGATATTTGAAATTCTGGAGTCTATTTTTAAAATTCAAAAATTCATCAAAAATTAAAATTTTAAATTATTACATTTTAATCAAAGGATTCTCTAATCATTTATCTTGTCAAAATTGTGCCATAGTTTAGGATTACCTTTTCCCCTTGTTCTTGCTACCTAAAGGAATATTCAATGGAAAGCACTTTGTTAGGGGAAATCCTATGCAAATCTAAGGTTATTTATCATCAGCATCATCAGCATCATCATCACAACTGTTGTTGTTATATAATGGTTTTTGCATATGTCCTAATTTTTTCCTAAAAATACCTTGTTTTATTCGTTATTGAAAAGAAAAATAGGCTTTCATTAAATCAGGGTAATGATGGAAATTAGTTAAGAAATAATCCTAGAATAATTATCATTCCCATTTCTTTTTATGTGAGAATAGCCATCCTCTATACATAAATATTTTCAAATAAAATTGCTAAGCTATTCTATAAATGCATACTCAGTCTTTGTTTTTTTTTAAATTGTCCAAAGATTACATATATGTGAATATATGTACATTTTATATGTGTATGTATTTTAATACAATTTAGAAGAGTAGTATAAAAGTGACTTTCCAGATAAGATGCTTGCAATTCATCAAAACTAATACTAAATTATTTTCTATTTGATATCTTCATTCTTTTGTACTAAATATTTTTCTTAATTTTACATAACATTTTTATTTTACAGAGTGTGAAGCTAATACAAGTTTTTTTATAAACACACTACTCCTTTGAAATACACATTGTAGAGTGTAAATTGAAAGGTCTGTACTGAGGTAGCAGAACAACTTGCTGAATTTAAATTCCTCTACATTTATTAATCTTACCAAGTTTGTATTTTGCATGAAATGTATTTTCTTACAAAAAAGATTAAACAAAAATTTACATCTATAAAATCATATTGCCTAATGAAATCGTCAGGATTTTATATTTTCCTCACTCTTTTTTTTTTCTATGTATAAATAATTTCTTGCCAATACCACGAAATGGGATTTGTCTTATTCTTGCTCTTGTAGTAAAATATTAGGTTAGGCCATGTGCAGAAACGGTGTTGATAATGATTGGAAAGTTGTAATGAGTTTTACAATTGAAACTTTCCACTGAAATTGAACAAATGCACCAAGCCCACAATTGTTTTGTATCAGAATCATGACATGACCATGCCAATATTATTTCTGCCCCAGGTCTAAAGTGGGGGGAGGGAGAGAAGGGATTTCATTATCTCATTATATTTTCCTCTAAATGAAGCTAAATTTTCCCTGTTAATGTGGATATGTCAAATAAGGCTGGATATGGCTGAGGACTTTACTTCCATATAAACCTGATCACAATGGGTCAAATTTGAGGTGGTAAAAAGTTATAGTTTAGAATGAAGGGTAAGTATTAAAACATCCTCTGAAAAAAAATGGTTTAGAGACAGGAATGTTTTGTATTTTCTTTTAAAGTTTATCCAGAATTGATGATAAGAGTAAATCTGAGGCTTATGAAATCATTCTCTTCTAAGTTACTGAAATTCTCAGTGCTGGAGTTTTAACTTAAGAACCCTTTTGCATTATGTTATAATATGCTGAACCCAATTCCCTTTACCATAAATAAAAGTGTGTTCTCCATACATTTTTATACAAGCAAAATAACTCCTACTTCTTTTCCTCTGGCCTATCCCTTATGAGATTTTGTCATAATCTTGTTGAAATTGTTTGAAATGTTAGAAATACTAAAATAGATTTCTAACAACTGCATGAGCATAAAGCATAGCCTCCTTTGAAAGTTCTATATACATGAGGTTATTCTCCAAAGGGAGGCTGAACAGAAGGGCCAATCTGATGAGCAGCCAATCTGTCTCCTACCATAAAGGAAAATATGTTTCATTGAAATAGTACTGATTTTCCCCATTCCCTAGCCTAGAACCTGTGCAGCCACATAATTTGGTGACAGAAGACTTCAGTGATTCTATACCCCAGATGAGTTATAAACTGAAAGGAGAGGAACATGTCTTATATTTGGCATAGGAAGAGATGTGCACGGAGGTGGGATGAAAATACAATGGGGTTTGTATCACTCAGGAAGGATTGATAAGTTACCCTGACCTCCATTTCCCTTAAGCTTCTGAATGCACCAAGCACCTCCATACCTGTGGGGAAAGAACCACTGTAAATAATATAATATTCATTAATTCACTTTTCTCCTCTGTAAATAAAGCAGTGTGTGACACTGGTTCCATACTCAAAGAAAGATGCTGACAAATCTGGCAGGTTGATTAATGTTCAGAGAAGGAAACATCCTGTAAGATAATCAAATTTCTATCACTGAACAGCAATATTTAATGGTGGGTTGTATTTATATGATGCATTGCTTTAAAATGATATCCCCAATAGCACAGTGTCTCCATTAATTTAACTGGTTTACACTCTGATATATGCCATTACAATGGATGTTTCTGTTGTTTCTTGAAATATGTTCATGTTTGAAATTCTGCTGACATTGAGATTAGATCTATTTGAAGGAGATCAGTCTAGCAAATGAAGTAAATGTAAAGCTAATCAGGAGCCTCTAGGTATGTGTAGGAACATATTGCATGAGTCAGTAATGTAACTTTTGAGAAATGTCTGCACACAAGCTTTCATGTACCTTTATTCTGTCTTTAGAATTTGGAATGATGGGAGATCATACAATTAAAAGTCAGCGACCTCGATCTGTTCATGAGAAAAGGGTCCCTCAGGAACAAGCTGATGCTGCTAAATTTATGGCACAAACTGGTAATACGTTAGTTACATTTTTCTATTTACTGTTGTTAATTTAATTTAAAAAACACTGCATGTTTTCATAATCTTTTGCTGCACATTCGTCAGTTTTGAAGCTGATACTTTTTTTGAACCATTTTTTTTTGTCACCAGTTAAAGTCCATAAATAAAGTAGCTGGAAATTGAAGACATAAAAATATGCACAATGAGCTACTTAACTATCAGAATAGATTTCATTGTTCATCAAGTATAGCATGCAGATGGAATATTAGGACCAGAACATTACAATTTAAATATGCTGGTTAACTGCTTGAAATATATCATAAATATTTTGAAAGAAGCTCTTGCCAATGAAAGTCCAGATTCTTAATAATGAATCAACATTAGAAGACTTCAACATTATAACATTGAAACTGAGATGCAATCAGAACTTAACAAATTCTTTGTAAGTTCTAGTTTCAGTTGCCTAATTTTATATATAAATATTAATTGACTTTCATATTTTACAGACATTATTCATTATAAAAGATGTGATTTTAATATTAGTTACAATATTGGTTAAAAACAGTTTTTCTCAAGGAAACCCAATAACTAAAAGAAGACAGTCTACTTGTATATAGTATGGTACCTCAAAACATTAAAAATATAAATATAAATAAAATGACTGTCTTTATCATAAAGCATTTTCATGCATTTAAATGCCATATATTTTACAAATAACTAAGAAAATAATGGTTTTACCTATGTATCTAGTGTCTGTGTGTGCACAGAGATGCTGCTGAATCTTACATGTAAGTTAGGGTTCATTGTAATAAATGAGCTAGCATTCTATCTGGTAACTCTGCAGCTGACACCTCTTAGATGAAAGTTTTTGTTTTTAAAAGGTCACGAACATATCTAATTGTCACATTTATTTTGAAAGCTAAAACATCTTTGTCTATGTGAAGGTTTTATCCATTGCAATCTAGAGGCGTTTCTTCCTCCATCAATGCAGGTTGTCTCAAGCAAATTGGTCACCTTTCTGAAGTGATGCCTTGGTTGTTTATGATACAAATCTCTGAAAGGATAAAATATTGCCATTCTGTCTGTATCTTAGATAAGGTTTAATCAGATACTAAAATCAATGATACAAATTTTAAAATAAAATTTTTATATCACTGAAGTGTAACTGGTAAACACATATATTTTAGAGAACTTAATTTAAGATAATAGTATCACCAAATTCAAATTCACCAATATGAAAAGGGAGATTGATTTTCAGAATAATGTACAATAATGACCCAAGTTTAGTTTCTTACAAATGCAGAAATTACTACCAACTGCTTTGCTCAGGCCAAAACTTATGGTCACTGACAACAGTACAAACTAATATATTTGCATTTTGCTAAGTGGATTAAGAAATATCTATGTGGAGTTGTGTAAATGTCCAAACATCCTAAAATTTGCTATTTTTCACAATAGGCTTTGAGAAGCTTTACCATTGGCCATGTATTGGATAATGCTTTGGGTTTAAAGAAATGGCTAAGGAAGGCACAGAGTGCTCACCACCACCTCAGGGACATTTTGGCAGAAAATACTCAAGTAAAAAGGAAATCCTATGTTAAGAGATGATATGATTGGTGGGGTGTAGGGTGGGAAGACTCTGGCTTGCCTCATCTATCTGCTAACTGGGAATGTTTCTTTGTATCAGGCAAATGACAAGAAGAAATGCAACTTAAACAAGATCACTTGATTTGATTTATGAAACCTGAGTGTGCAGTTCTCATATGTTCTGACATATGACAATTGCCCATTTTTTTCACACTGATTTGGGACAAAACAGAATTTACATAAGGATACTTTAGACATGCATACATACACACACATAATTTATTTGCCTATAATGTATAAGCAGTGCATACAACTTCACAAACTAACTTTTAATGAATTCAGATAAGCAAAACCAAATAACCATGGTTTTTAAAGTAAAAATTTGCTAATATCTATATTTTCATTTAATTGCTTCTTTCTAGTAACTGTATTATATCTAATATATTGTACCTCTTGATTATAAACTTAATGAAGCACTTTAAAAATTGAACTATGAGGATATTTTAAAATATTGCCTCACATTCTTATCCATATATATGAAAATACAGTGAGCTTTATGGTCATATGACTGGAAAAAAAAAGATTGTTAGAGTTGATGATCTTTATGTTAAAGAATTCATTATTTGATACAACAGAATGATGCATAAAGGTACAGAAGAAATAATAACAGAATATATATTCTTAAACTAAAATTATTATTAGATAAAAGTAATGTTCAAAATTCGTATTGCTTTGGAAGTTATTGAAAGCTTCACTTTATGAATAAAATTCTTTTCTGAGGGAAGGAGGTAGTCATCATTGGCAAAGCTATGAAGTGAAAAGCATCCATCAGGGCTATTGGAAATATTTTAATAATTATTTCTCATTTAAATTTTCCTGAAATTATCATTCCTTTAGGCATTATGGGAGTTAGTATGGATCTTACACAGGTAAGTGTCTCACAATTAGACAATCTATACAGTGTTTTATTAGTACATATTCCCTTCCACCTATCTTTTAAACAAAGAAAATGTTTGGAGACATGAATATTTTTCTTTTGTTCACATTATTTTGTGAACATAAAATAGCTTATAAATATGGCATAGAATATGGAAATGGATATGATATGATTTTTGTACTCTTTATACAGAGGGCAGAAAAACCAACTGCTAGAATAGATTTTGTAGTTTTCAGAAATATTTAAAATACATTTTTCTTTTTGACATTACAGATCTACGGAGCCAGTAGAGAACCTTGCATTGCAGATGTGTATGCACAGTTTAAGAAACTTCCTTAGACAGTGTTCAGTTTGAAAATATTTATTAAACTCATGTCTTCATGATGCAATGATATTATCTATCGTGTCACACATAGCAAGACTTGATTCTGGCCTGGTTAATCTATTCATTGAGCCAATTTTTGGAACAGGTATATATTACCACACAAGTCATTTAACCATAATTAAATTGTTGATCAAGTTGGATGCTGTTCTATGGATTAATTTTTTGGGTACGTATCAGCATAGATGGATAGAAGGCTGATCTTGGAGTGAGGAAGGCCTGGATTAAAATTGCAATATTGACTGTGTGACAGCTGGAAAGTGCCTTAATTTCTCATTCCCCAGGGGAACTCTTTAAGACTAGAAGTTTCAGAGGTGTAGTTGATCTGAGTTACTGAAGAATTTTCACATTGTCAGGAGTTCACTACACTGATTAAATCAGAGGTCTAGACCCTTACCCTACCAAAAAAAATATCAGATATCATTTTAAATATTAAACAATAGTTCATGATAATGATTCATTTCATCTTCACAATTTGGCTATAAAAGTTAGTTTTAATTTGTGGCGCTAAAATATATTGTGGATTTTCTTTTAGTTAATCTGGTAGGTTTTTTTAACTTTACTGAGAAAAAGTAGCACATCCAAAGTATTAAAGAGACATGCCACTTAAAATAAAAAAAAAACACCATAATTTAAAATCAGGTTTCTAAGTTTATAATAAAAAGGAATACTTGTATTGATAGCTATTTCCTATTATTTTGGTCTGTCAGCTTTGAAAACCTTATTAGTACTTTAAAACATAGAGATTTCCAACTGTTTGTTAATAAATCCTTTATCTGATAGCCATGGTTAAGAGTCTGATTATTCTGTATCACTTTCTGATCTACACTTATTGGAGTGTAAGACATCTACATGTTGTATCATATAATCTAACTGACCATTGACAAATAGTTTGTGTGCAGATAAATAACAACTGTTAAGACTAGCAAAGGGATTAGATTGTAAAATCAAGACTTTTTCTCTTGCTCAGATATAACTAGTCATACTGCACCATGTAGACCAAATATTAATTTATATTCATTTAAGAATCTTTCTCCATACACATACAAATATAATAGTATACCTATATATTCTTATAACATATATATATATATATATATATACACATACAAATGTATGTGCTTATATAAACATATGCACATAAGCACAATAGAATGAACAAATTGAAACGTCCAAGTTGCTTCTAAGGGTCTCTATCATCAAAGAGACAAATATCTCAAGTAGTCCTTTCCTAACTTCTCTAAGTCTCCATTTTTTTAATCAATAAAATTGTAATAGATGCCTTTACTACCTACCTCACAGGGGTGTTGTGAGGACCACAATAGATGTCTGTGAAGTGCTTTCTACCTCATGAAGGGCTATAAAGATGTTGACAATGATTTTTTTTCTTCTTACTTTCAAAAACGTAGTTTACATCAAAAATTGAAAATTACACACAGCCCTTTTTTACTTAAAACATTCCTTACAAAATGCGTTTAATCTCTCATATCAATCATGTAATAAATTTCACTTTTATCAATCTTCCAATGAGCTATGCTGTTTTGCACAGGCTTATAAAGTCAAAACATTAGTGGCACAGAAGCAACCCAGATCATTTGGCTTGTATCTCTACTGGCAAAGCATTTGTTTCAGCAAGCTGCCATTTTATAGGCATCATCTCATTCGTCTAAAAAAAAAAGTCCTGTTTGAAAGTGAATAAATGTCATCAGAAAAGGTTTCAAATGAAGGGACATTTGGTTGTCAGAAGTGATTTGAAAGTTTGGGATGAGGGGGGAAAAAAAGGCACTCCTAATTTCCATGGGCAAGTGGTTGCTCTTTCTAAGACCTAATTTAGCAGCTTTAAGAAAAAAAAAATTGCATTATCTTTCAGAACTGATCCCCAAGCTTTGAAACTTTTTTTTTGCAAAAATGAGCTGGGTTAACATGTAATTGCTTAATATTCACAAAACATCAGTCTTTTCTTACAATGTTTAATTTGCCAGTATACATTATATACTTGAAGGTCCTAAACCTGTTACCATTGTAAAGTACAATTAAACCAAATTATTTCTGACCTTCCTGCAGTGCCAGGGTAAAATGAGAACAATTATTCGAGACAAAATGATTTCAATTTTAGACAAAAGCTATTTCAGTTTTTTTTAATAAAACCTATATTATATACATTAGCCAAGTTTTTAATTGATAACTTCCTAAAACCCACTAAATCACCACTTTTCTTAATGTCATTGTTCATGTAGGTTCAAAATGTTCTAAAAATGAATTTAAGATCTTTCCTAAATTTGTACCTGACAATTTTTTCCTTCAGTTCCACAACAGAGAAACATCACTTTATAATTTACATTCTGCATAAGGTTGTTTTTTTTTTTATGGTAAGGAATACTTAAGAAGAAAAGTTTTGAGTTTTAATGTCACTTGCGCTAGTCAGCCAATTGATAAATATTTATTAAGTGCCTACTGTGTGCCAGCCACTGTGCTAAATGGTAGGATACAGAGAATGGCAAAATGTAGTTTCTATTCTCAAGGACCTCACAGTTTAATATAATCAGCAAATAATATGGCCCTATTATAAAATCATAATCAAATGTTATGATTCTGTTAAGACACAGAAACTAAGGGAAAATGTTACTCTAGAGCATACATTCTGATATATGATACAATTTATTACAGGCAGGACAAGAGAATGATCCATGTAAAACTAGTCCAATTTAATTCTATATGCATTCACCTGACTACCCCATCCTTATGGTCTATTTAGTATGATACACACCAACGTAAAATTCGTTATCATCAGTACCTCTGTGGGAGTACTTAAAATAGAAGCATGCTTAATACATTTCTCAAACACTGCAAGTAATGGAAATAATGTTTATGGTAATGTCAAAGCTTGATAACTTGTTAATGGTAGGAAAATAGTATTTATGTCTGGCCAAGAAAACTTTATGTTTTGTGATCAAATTTATAATATCCACTATGAATATTAGGTTGAGAGCATTAGGAGCCCACTGTAATGATCTTCAGTATTTTAAACTTTAAGTTTCCTTAGAGCTTGAATTCATTAATTATTTGGAAACCATTGATGCTATAGAAGTGATTTATTTGATTTGGGAAAATGGATGCAGACCTTCCTTATTTTATAAAAGCCTGTTGTTAAGTCATTTTTTTAGCATTATAATGCAAATACTGGAAGAGTTTTCATTCATTCTGAGTCATAGTCACTAAACTGATCTAAACCCTGGGAAAGGCATCATGTTGTCAAAATGCCCTTATTAATAATTGCAATAGAATGAATAGCTTCATTTTGAAATGTCAAAGTAGTACTACTCGAGGACCTTTTTGAAAACAACGAGAGTAGTTGTTCAGTGTGCTACAACACAAATTAATAAGATAAAAATACCCATGGCTTGAACATTCCAAGAGCTAGGAATGGGGGTCTATAATGAAGGCATGAAAGAAATGCATGGGTAAATAATTTGTTCCTTGCTTTAAAAGAATAGAGTATGTTTAAATAGCATTTAGCTCCCCTCCCCCTGTACCATTTCATATCTATTTAAAGATTCTGAGGCAGAGAATAAAAACCAATTTGTCTTCTATTATGTAAAATGTTGACTGATTCTTTTTCTTTTAGTGTCCATAGTGCAGTGGTGTTTTGTGAAAGGAAGCACTACTAACAAGGTTGGACTCAAAGTCAGTTCTTGCATCAGTTTTCTGTGCATTCCAATTTTTAATTTATTGTTTCACTAAACATTTTTTCCATGGGCCCTTTCAAGTGTTTATTGTCATACTGTTGCCTTTAAATTATGCTTACATGCCACAATGCTGTTAATTACAATGTTTTCTATTATTACTCAAGGCAGTATTCATTTTTATTTGTTGTCTTGTGTACAGGTGAATCTGGTGTGGAAGAGTGGTCCCAGTGGAGTTCATGTTCAGTTACTTGTGGTCAAGGGTCGCAGGTGCGAACCAGAGCTTGTGTATCACCTTATGGGACACACTGCAGCGGCCCGTTAAGAGAATCAAGGGTTTGCAATAACACTGCCCTCTGTCCAGGTAGTGTTAGCAGCAAATACAATTGTGGATGTTATTGAATTGTGTCTTGCTAAGCATTTGAAACATTTGATTATTATTTTCACATGAATTGAGTATAGATATTTTAATTAGAGTGGATAAGTGTAATTCTTATTCATCTGGGAAATTTCATTATGTATGTGATTATTTCTGCTTTCATAGCAGTCAAAAGAACTATACAAACAATTTTTTTCAAATGCTAGTTCTACATATGAGTATATGTTTTTAATTAGATATGTATCCATAAAGTTTTATTTTTTTCAGGAATAAAAGATAAGGGAAAATATTCTATGGAATGATTTAGGAAGGAAAAAAGCATAATTTATTAATGTGCTGGGAACATGAAACAAATTTTCATTACTTAAGAGAAATGATAAGCCTTTGGAGACATGCACTCTCCACAATTGCTACAAAAGTTATTATAACCTTATAAGTAAAAAAAATACTAATTTTCAGAGGCTTATTGTATTTAGCTCAAACTCTTCCTTTAACCATGCTTACATGTACAATGATTGCATTTGTTTCTCTACACTCAGCTACTGTCTGTAAGCTGGAGGTTCTATTTTACACTTCTATTTAATATTTAATATAAAATTTGAAATGACTTTTTTGAACTGTCCATTGCTTTGGACATTTGATACAGTCATTTAGGAAATAGAAAATGATATAATCCAAATGGAACAGAGTACCATTTCTTTTTAACTTAAGGCAAGTGTCAAATATTTCACTGCAAATCAGCATTTCCTGGTACACTCACACAACTACAGAATTCTTTCCCTCCCTCCTTTCTCTCTCTTTTCTCCTCTCCCTCTTTCCTACCCCTCCCTCCCCGTTCTCCCTCTCTCTTCTTTCCTCCCCTTTACCATCTTCTTTCCCCTCTCTTTCCTTTTTTCTCCCTTTCCCCTCTCTTTGTCTCTCTCCATCCCTCCTCCTCTTTCCCTCTCCTCTCTTCCCTTCTCCTGCCCTCCCTTCTCCTCTCTTCTCTGATATTGGTAGCCACCAGTTTGCATTTAATTCTCTGTGGGACCACCTGGAAAGATCCTAACTATAAATCCAGGATCTAGCAGCACTGATGCCATAGAAAGCTGCTTTATGGCAACCTGCAGTGGTTGGGTCCACAGAGGAACATGGATTTTTACCTACTACCCCTCTAAATACATAGCTTGTCACAGCTCGCAGGTTCTAAAGATTTCCTAGGGACACCCCTATAGTTTTATATCTGGGTCCTCTGAGGGTTTCTTCCTTTGAGTACAGAGAGGTAGAAATGAATACTAGAGAAATACAGGGTACTTAAGTGAATGGATGTTCCCAGAGGAGCTCCTGATCCTAGGAACCAACCTTGCAAGTAGGAAGCAAAGCTATGTAGAAAGATAAACAACCACAGCTGAGTAGAACAAGATACCTTCACCAATAAGTAGAAAAAATTATATAAGACATTAGAGGACAAGATGGGGAAAAGGTCTTGGAAAGAATTAGTAAGAAGCAGTTGGGAAAGAACAATGAAACCAATCAGTCAGACAATTAATCAATGAGAATTAATTAAGTGCTATAGGTACTTATTATATGCCAAGCACTATGCCAAGGACTGAGGATACAAAAAAAATCACATAGTCCCTGTCCTCAAAGAGATCACATTCTAATGAGACAACAAATGACTATATAGATACAGAAAGGATATACGTAGACTAAAAAGTTCTAAGGGTTCAAGAAAGCATTGACAGAGTGTGTAGAATGTGGAAAGAAATAAAGCATAAAGGATAGAAGGGGAAGAAGACAAAAGCATAAAAAAGAAAATGGCAAAAGGAAATTGATACAATTTTAAAAAGAGAAAGAAGAGATGAAGGACAAAGGGAGCAATACCATTAAGGGAAGAAAGATAAAAAAAGAAAGAGAAATCAGAACAAAAACTAAATGAAAAGTAGATTACACTAGAAAGAATATAGAGAATGAGATAGGACCAATATGCAGAGAAAATAGTAGAAAAGAAGGTCCAGAATGCCAGAGAGGAATAGAGAATATTTGAGAAGTTGAGAAAATTGAAAATGAGCAGCTAGGTACTGCAGTGGATAGAGCACCGGCCCTGGATTCAGGAGGACCTGAGTTCAAATCTGGCCTCAGACACATAATACCTACTAGCTGTGTGACCCTGGGCAAGTCACTTAACCCCATTGCCTAGCCAAAAAATAAAAAAAATAAAAATTTTTTAAAATTTTTAAAAATTAAAAAAAAAATGAGCAATTAGTATCATATGCTTTGTAACAACACAACAAATTTTTGGTTACTATGCATGAAATCTCACTTTTATGGCTCAAGTTCAAAGGTGTGTGTGTTTCTATGTGTGTACACATAAACACATAAACAATAATCTGCCAGAGAATAATGTATAACTGTATTTGGGATTCATGAGAAGTATCAGGATGTACTGGACAGAGAGCTGGCCTCAGAGTCAAGAAAATTGATGTTCAAGTTCTATCTCTGACACATGTTATCTGTGTGACTAAGGACAAATCACTTGATTTCTCAGTGCTCCTATCAACTCACTAAAAATATAAGTTGAAGACTAGCAGCTGATGAGCATCAGTAGAAGGGATTTGTCACTGACAGCTCCCTATACCAATGAAATCATGTTTAAAAAAGGAAAATAATTCACTGAATTTCTTGCCAACTAAACGTTAACTATAAGCCAAAGATAGACCCAAGACAAAGTTGTGGAAGCTATAATGGCCTTCTTAGTACAATCCCTCATTTTGACACCCATCAGCTTAAGTATCCAGTATCATCATGTTGGTATCTCACTGCCTAGTACACTATACCGTGTTATACACTACAGGTAATATCCCAAATTCTAGGCCTCCCCCATCTCCCAAACAACTCTCATCATCAAAATGTACATGTTTAGCATTCCATTTTCTCAGGACCATATAGATTGTTGACTAATTACAATAAAAATATTTGAAATAAGGCACAAAGTAAGAATGATAAATGTTGCTTTCCAAATGATAGCTGCATTTTAACATTGTCCTTCAATGCTAAAGGCATTGGCAGCATGAGATAGTGTTGCACAGTAGTTAGGAAGCTAGCATTGAAATCAGGTAGACAATTTTAGGTCTCACCTCTTACACTGGCTATGTGACTCTAGGCAAAGCATTTAACATCTCATTGCTCTGGGAAATGCTCTGAGACTCTGTATTACAGACAATGAAATCATATTCAGCTCCTATCCCTTCACTGATGATCAAAAGAAAATGGCAAAAGGTGTAGTTATCTGTGGACCGAGAGCCCTTCTCTCCTCCCACCAAACTAATCTCACTCTATAGGTAAGGATGTACTCTGCCTGTATTTAAAGTTGGTTCTTACTTTAACCCTAATCCATTAGTTGAATCAAATTAATATCTACTACGGAAAAGAAAAAATTGTGAGTTAGCAACTTGAAAAATAATAGTATTAAATCAATAAAGGCTAGAGGATTTATAAGCAAAGAGTTATGCAGAACATGGTTTCTTTTTGAAAGAACATCAGTTTCCTTTTTTAAACTTGTGCTGAGACCCTGGTTTTTATCCTCCAATGGGAGCTAGGAATAAAGGTTGGACTGGAAAGAACCTTGTTCAGGTTTTTCTTTCCAGTCAGTTTTACACATATGTATGTTTATATATTTCAACCAAAAGACATGTGATTCTGTCCTTCATCTAGGCAAGACAGAATATGTCAGAGGATTTGAGAATACATTTCTCCACTCTCCATTCATCCTTACTTTCATTTCATTATATCACTGTAATAAAAAAACTGAAGAGCAGTGATTATAACAGAAATTTTAACTCATTTTCTTAAATTAAATATCTTTATATTTGCTAATGACCGTTTTGCCCAAACAGATGTATCCATTTTATTTGTTGTTACAAGTTTTAATATGTGATACTGATTTTGGAGAAAACATCTTTACTTCATAATAATACAGAAAAATAGAATTGAAGGTAATGAAAAAGGAGATTTGTGTTTTTCCTTTTTTTTTGCTTTTTCAATCTTGAATGATATTTTATAATAGAGTAATTGGACTTATTTCAATATTAAGAATAAATGTTTTAATACTCTTATAGGTGATATTTTCAAATGGTATTTTAACATATTTACATAAATGTTTTAGGGTTGTTATCCACTTTTTCATGTGTTAATTATTTTGTTTTGATACTTTCCAAACTCGTTATGTATGTTCTCCTTTCACGCTAATTTTTAATGAAAGTAATGATTCCAAATGAATTCTTCCATTTAAATGTTGCCTGAAATGGTATAAATTTTTCTGTACTCAAATATCACATTTGCAATGAGATAAAAGAGCTAAAATCCATTACCTGATTAGTTAAATTGTGTCTATCCAAAATACATTTGTCATTTAAAGAAATAACATAAAATTGCAAAAAGTCAGGCTACATAGTTAACCATTCCTTGCTTCACATTATGAAATGGTGATGCTAAAGGTTATTTGCATTGCCAAGGGGGATGCTGGAAAATGAATCATTTTCACTTTCAGGTTTCACTTTATACGTTACCTTAGTTTAACCATATAATTCTTACTTCCTGGGCCATCTAGTGGAGTAGAAAAATCATTAGACCTTATGTCACAAGACTTTGAGCCCTGGCTGTGCTATTCTCTAATTGTAGTCCTTTGACCCTTGCCTTAAAATGACCTCAGACTTACCTACCATTTGAAGATTCCAGGAAATCTAACTTTTTTTTTTTTCCAAAGTTGGTCTTTTTGAATAGGAAATTATAAATTTTCAGTGATCCATAGAAAATAATTTTATTTCAAAGAAAGTGGAAAGCTATGTAACTAGTTTAAGAAGTCATTGTTTTCTGATTTGTAATTTTATGGAACTCATTCACATTTTTAAATTTTTTTAAATTTTATTAATTTATTTTGATTTATCAACAATCACTTCCATATGCTTTTGAATTTAAAATTTTTCTCCCCCTTCCTCCCCACCACC